ATAGACTTACCTCCACGTGGTGCACCCTGGGCAACGTATATTCATACGGCAAAATGTCTATTGACTGGCAGTTGACTTCTCACTTCAAACTACCATCACCTCACTCTAAGCCATATTCGAATATTTTCACAGTACTCACCTCACCTTTGTTCTATCTTTGTGTTTGTCTCTTACATCATTGAAACACTCTTCTGTTCCCCTCCCCCCTATCGACTTTTTCAATTTGACGTTTCTTCCCCTCTGTGAAGCCTGAAGTCAACTAAAGGGCTAATGATAACCATCAAGACGTCTGCCATTTGATATAAATAAATGATTAATCTCTGTGGTAGACACAAATTAACGAAAAAATGTGCTCCAATCACACATCTATTTCCTCTATGTTATTGGGAGATATTTTGTTATAGGGGTTAATGGTGACTGGGCAAGACTGATTCGTGTATTTTCTTCCAATAGCTTAGATGACTGAATGATTGTTATTTACGTGACTTTTATACAACAAGGCTGACTAATGTTAATTGGAGTTGGAATAAAAAGTCACTGTGTTCCCTTACCAACGGACACAGGATAGTTAACTAAAATGGAACATGATTATTCATTGAATTTTAAGCTAGGTGCGTAGTTAAATGGTGAATCATATCAGGATTAACAGCTTATGCACAAAGAAAACTGCTTTAAAATCAATAAATTTTATTAATTTTAAAAGACTATTAGCCATTTTGTCATATTCTTTTCTCAGACAAACACAACAGATGGAACCGCGAATTTCGGTTTTCAATTAATCTCAGGATTTCTGAATAAAATTACTTTGTTTATAATTTACCCAATCTCACTTTTCCACGGATACTGTGTGTATCCAAAATGATTTGGCTTAGTTAATTATTGCCAAAATGCTAGGAATGACTTTATCATCAAATGAGAACAAATTCCAGTTTAATTATGTAAAAGGGAAATTTATTATTAAAGATTGATTAAGATATATTAGCAGTTTCGCTAGTTTTCCTTCAGTAGTTTCTGGAGGTATTGGCGCAATGCAGCACGAGCCTTCATTCTAACTTGTTGAATAAACGCACACGTCTCCTGGGCAATATCCTTCAATTTAATTCCTGCCGGATCTTCGGCGAAGAATTTCTTAATATCGGCGAAGCTTTGCATCACACGAACTTGGCTGTCGTCAGTTTCGCTGCATTGAAAGGAAAAAAAAGGAAATCAATTAATAACTAATTAAATTAATAAAATTATGCGGCCATTTAGTACCACTCTTCATATACCAAAATTTGTTTCAATTCAGCTATCATTCGCATTGCAGAGAGGAATCAATACTGTAACTTTTAAATTGAATTTGTTTAAACATTATTCACACAATTAAGGGAATCAGAAAACCTTACGCCTGTGAAACAGCAACGAAGGCGAGGACTGTTAGGGCGATAAGAATGAAAGTTCTCATTGTGTAGGTTTGATGGGTACATATTTTGAATACCCGCCTCCTATATATATATCCTTTCAATTCCACGTTTTATCTGCTTTGTGTAAACACTCCTTTCGTGAAAATTGAAATCAACATTCAATGAAAGAACACTTCCTGTAAATTGCGTCTTTATTTGGTGTTTGATTGTCCATAATTGCTGCCTTAGGGTTTGATAATTAAATTGTTTATAAGATTCCATGCAAAGTGGAAAATAGGCTCTACTTTTCGAGTTTAACAGAGCATCAAAAGTGGAGTAATATTTATTAAAACCCTTCTATTTCAGCCAGCATAAAACTACGTTTTAGTACTTATGCCATATGCAGACGGACTGATAAGTCTATTAGAGGCTGTGTTATTGCAACAGTTTGAAATGATTAAAAATAGCCGCAGTTTGGGATTAACATTTTGCAGTTTAAAAGGGGTGCCAATGAAAAAATACACATTTAACAAATAGACTTACGCACTCCGTTACTTCCCAGATACGGTGGAAGTAATGCCTGTCATTTCTTTGCACAATAGATAAAGTGTTTAATAAACTAAATTTGATTATTTAAGGCGAAAATAATCAACTCTAGAACGCACAGAGAACGCCTCAGACAGGGCACTCTGCATTTCTCTCATCAGATCTGAAGTGCCTAGTGGCTCACTAAAGCCATTGCTAAAATTTACTGTCAAATGCTCGTAGTGACGGCGTGCTGATTTGAATCAAGTATCAAAACAAACTTACTCGAACCATATTCTCGATTAACTATGGAAGAATTAAGCCAGAAACTTTATTTATTTATATCAAATGGCAGGCGTTCTGATAGTTATCATTAGCCCTTTAGTTGACTTCGGACCTCACTGAGGGGAAGGAACATCAAAGTGGAAAAAAAGTCGAGAGGGGGGAAACAGAAGAGTGCTTCAAAGACGAAGGTAGAAAAAAGGCGAGGTGAGTACTGTGGAAGTAGTCGAATATGGCATACAGAGGGATCATGGCAGTTTGAAGTCAGAAGTCAACTGCCCATTGATAGACTTTTTTTGCCGTTTGAATATACATTGCCCAGGGTGCACCACGTGGCGGTAAGTCTATCGCACACCCCAAGCCAGAAACTCGCATGTTCCAATAATCAACTATGCAATTAAACACGAAGCGCATCGTCTAAGTGGAAAAGGAGTGGAATTTGTGTTCCACCAGGTCAACCCATCAAGCATAGCAAAGTCAACTGAAGAAACAAGTGGATTTCATTGTTGTCCTCAGAACAAAGAACTCAACTCCAAATTGGCTTCGTTGGGGGGGGGGGGGGGGGGGGGGGGGGGGGGGGGGGGGGG